CTCTGACCAAAAAATGATGATTTCGATCATGTATTGATCAGGTGGATTCGTCAGCGTTGAGGTGAATATATGTCGTTTATATAAAACTATGTATAAAGAGATATCGTGTATATGCTTGGGTTTTATAGATGCTATAGACAAATTAAAATAACCTGTATTCCTAAATCCGAAAAACATCTGAAAATGGTAGCCCTTCCGATCCCACGAATTTCGGATAAAGAATTCTTAAACTGTTCTTATAAAAAATTAAAGATAGATTTTTGGCAGTGAATGGTACGATTTAGAAACAAATCGATTTTTATGCTGAAGAGCAAACGAAACAAGACAAGATATAGAAAATTAGAAAAAAAATATACGACCGGCGCATGCGCAAGTGAGGTTGGTCTCCATTTTAAAAAAAAAAAGGAGTGGGTAAATTTGTTAAACAAACAATTCTTGTTTGTCTTGCTCTTTACAAGTCTTTTGTTTCAACGATTTCATTTTGAATCGTTTTTATTTATTTATTTTTTTTTTTTTCACAAATTATTATTTTTTTTTTTTTGCATCTTGCCATTCTTTATTTCGGTGTGTGGTCTTTTATTGCAGTGAACTTAATAAGTGCTATAAGAAAACAAAATGGAGAAAATTTTCAATACGTTACTCGCAAACTGCTTACATTTTTCTTTGCTTGCTTTAAAAATATACATTCGTAGATTTTGTTGTATACGCGCCAAGGTTCCTCCCAAATTAAGTGCCGACACACTCGTCAACGCAACTGTTCACTTTCCTATAAACGTCTTAGTTTTTTTTTTTTTTCTGCAAGTAGAAATACAGTATTTTGTAAAATAAGCAGCAGCATTTATTGATGGATTAATGGTTTCATATTTCTTTTTGTTTTTTTCTTTAAACCTTCCTCATGACTCACATGTTCCATCCATGGTATTCTCAGTATCAGTGTTTCTTTAAGTTTATCTACGAGGAAAATTGCCCAGCATTCATTGTCGCACCGGAGAACTGATATTACATAGCAATTCAGCAATCTTAATTCTTTCCCATCTTTATTTCTGAGATGAAGTATTGTAATTGTTTACACTATTTGCATTGTTTGGACTGTTGTCTTCATCTTTATTATCAAATTCACGACGTTTCAGCCGTTGTACGTTCCGGCCTTCTTCATGATCTGTCTCTATATATATTTAGATGAGGTATTGTAAATATTTATATTGTTCGGGGTGTTGTCCTCATCTTTGTTGCCATATTCACGACGTTTCGGTAGTTGGAAGCTCGAGCCTTCTTCAGGATCTGTCAATATTTCTGAGGCGAGGTATTGTAATTATTTACATTGTTCGGAGTGTTGTCCTCATCTTTGTTGCCCTATACTAGACGTTTCGGCATTTGGAAGCTCCAGCCTTATTCAGGATCTGGCAATATTTCTGAGATGAGGTATTGTAATTATTTACATTATTTACATTGTTCGGAGTGATGTCCTCATCTTTCTTGCCATATTCACGACCTTTCGGCAGTTGGAAGCTCCGGCTTTCTTCAGGATCAGTCAATATTTCTGAGATGAGGTATTGTAATTATTTACATTATTTCCATTGTTCGAATAATTGTCCTCATCTTTATTGTCATATTCACAACGTTGGCCCAGTGAATCAAAGTGACCTTTTAAAATTATCCAGTGACTTGACACAAAAGCTTATTGCCAAATTCATGATCTGGCCACAATGCTGTGATAATAACAACAAAGATGAGGACATTAAGCAAAAAAACAACAACAAAAAAACACAAAAAAAACAATAAAAGTCACTAAAAATAAATTAATAATTAAATAACACTAAAAAAATAAGAAAAACTGTCTATTTCTGTGATGATGTTATCCTTATCTTTATTCCCATATTCACGATGTTTCGGCCGTTGTACGCTCTGGACTTCTTCAGGATCTGCCTATATTTCTATCATTAGGTATTTTAACATTTTACTCTATTTACATTGTTCGGGTTGTTGTCCTCATCTTTATCGTCCTATTCAAAACATTTCAGTCATTGTACGCTCCGGCCTTCTACAGGATCTGATATGAGGTATTATAACTATTTACGCTATTTGCATTGCTGGGACTATTGTCCTCATCGTTATCGTCATATTCCCGACGTTTCGGCCGTTGTACGCTCCGGCCTTCTTCAGGATCTGTCTATATTTCTGAGATTAAATATTGTAACTATTTATACTATTCATATTGTTCGGAGTGTTTCCTCATCTTTATTGTTAGATTCACGTTGTAAGCTCCGGGCTACTTCACGTGATACATGTTCAAAAAAGTTTGTGGCAAGGTGATGAATTCACAAGTCTTTGGGTCAATTTACTGGAACCGACAAACTTTTATCCACTAGGCTATGTGTCTTTTTTTCATAATATTTTCTCTTTAAAGGGTTATATGCTTTTAAAATAAGGCGGGCATTGATGAACTTAAAGTGATGTCCTACGGTCAGGAACATAAAAGAGACTTGCGATTAGATAAACATTCAAATTCTCTCGTCTTACATCGCAATGAAGTGGGGCATAATTTTAATTTAACTAATGGTAATCTTATTAAAAAAATGAAACCTTTTAAAGAGAAAATATTATGAAAAACATATAGCAATACTACAAACTATTAAAACACGTTTAAAAATCTACATTATAACAAAAAATTTCAGTCACTTTCCCACCATAGAAGTTGCTTCTATGTGCCTTTCCTATAAATACTTTCATGGTAATTGTTCAGATGAGCTCTTCGCTTTGCTTATTTTTCTTTAGTGTCTTGCAAATAGTTTTTGAGTTCATATTGTAAATACTCATTGGGGCTAGTTTTTAGAATTGTTGTTACCCTCCCCCTACAGACAATCAATTGTACATATGGGGACTAGTTAGGATTTTCATAGAGACAATGAGGTATTATGGTGATTGTAGTAAGAAAGGTACGTATGAATGTGTTGTTTTGGTGTAAGGAATATTGTTCGTATGATTGGGTCAGTGTTTGTGGCTAGCTAAGTTATAGTTAAGACAGAAGAAGACCGTCCTTTCCCCCAATCCCCTTTTCGGCCTTGTGCCACATTTCTGTAGAAAACAGAATAAATATCGCTCTTCGCTTTGGTACCTAGATTTTTAGAATTTAAGCGTAGTACTAGAGTCCGGATCTAGCGGCTGTCCTTCAGTCACTTTCCCACCGCGGTAAGGTTGCCTCTCTGTGTCTTTTCTATAAATATTTTCATGGTAAACGTTCGTAGGGTCTCTTCGCTATAGTACCTAGATTTTTTTTTAAATTTAAGCGCTGTACTAGACAGCCGTCGAGATCCAATCATTTTACAGTTGACTTGGCTAGATGGAACCGTAAGTTCTATGCTAACAGTTTCTTCTATCGAACTTCTCGCTTGTGGAATTCCATTCGGGATTCACGCTTTCCAGACAATTTTAGTATGCAAAAATTTAAATGCAATGTCAATCGCTATCAACTGTCCTCCTGATTACTATTTTCTCTTTTCGCTCGTTATTAAAGTTTCCATTCCTGATTCTTCCATACATTATAAAACCTTTGTGCCTGGGTCGTACTACTGCCTTTCATGGGGTGATACAGATTAATAAAAGCCTGTAAAAAACTACTTAGGCTAATTCATCAGACTGAAAGTGGCTATGTTCCTTGAGGGTGGAAGCATAAAGTTACCTCAAATATTTTGGAAAGGATGAATAGAGTGTAGAAAGTGGGTGAATTTAACTATTTACAAATATGAATATATCATATTATATTATATTATACTATGTATGTTATATATTATATTATATATAATATTTTATTATGTATTATATCATATTCTATTCTATTATATCATATTCTATATTCTATATTATATATTATAACATATATATTATATTGTTTTATATATCATATCATATGCTATGTATTATATATCATATATCATATTATATATTATATAGTATAGTATATATATATTATATATTATATAATATATTATATATAATATTGTCTATCATATTATATATTATATATCATATATTATATGACATTATATTATATATTTTATTATATATTTTATTATATATCATATTATGTATGATATTATATCATATTTTATATTCTATATTATATTATTTATTAAATTACATTATATATTACATTATATCATCTATATTATATTGTTTTATATATCATATATTATTTATTATATATTATATATAATATTATATATTATATTATACCTCATATATCATATATTATATTACATTGTATTATACATTTTATCATATATTATATTATATATCATATTCTATTATATATTATATCATATTCTATTATATGATATCATATATAGTATATTATATATTAAATTATATTATATATTATATCATATATATCATATCGTTTTTATATATCATTTTATGCGTTATATATTATATATATTCATATTATATATTATATATAATATTGTATATAATATTATATTATATCTTATATATCATATATTATATTACATTGTATTATATATTTTAACATATATTATACACCATATTCTATTATATATTATATAATATTCTATTTTATTATATCATATTATATATTATATTATATATTAAATTACATTATATGTTATATCATATATATTAGATTGTTTTATATATAATGCTTTTGCATTATATTTTATATATTATATATCATATTATATTATATTTTATATAATATTATATGTAATATTATATATTATATATCATGTATTATATTACATTGTATTACATATTTTATTATATATTATATTATGTCACATTATATTACATAATACATTAAATTATATCACATTATATTATATAATACATTATATTATATATTATATTATCTTTGAAGTTGCTCAGTGAGTTTATTTGTAGTGGATATGTGTAAATTTGTAGGAAAATTCAAAAAGAAATAAGATGATTTTTTCGTCGAATTTCCGTCAATTTATTTTATTTTCAAAACTTACAAGAATGATTATTCAAATTTTTAACTTCTTGTAAAACTTGTAAAAAGATTTCACGGTGTTAGGTTTGTGCATCACTCTCGGGAGTGTCAAAAAGAAAACGACTGTCTCGATGCAGGGATGTTTTAAGCGAGTCAAGAGGACAGAAATTAATAAAGACAAATTCAGCGAATCCAGGGATAAAAAAAAATTATAGAGACAAACAGACAGACAGAGAAAGATAGGTAGAAAGATATGAACATAGTGAGATAGATAGATAGATAGATAGATAGATAGATAGATATTAACAGATTGAGATATATAGATAGATAGATAGATAGATAGATAGATAGATAGATAGATATTAATGAGATAGATAGATAGATAGATGAATAGATAGATAGATAATAAACTGATAGAGAGAGATAGATAGATAGATAGATAGATAGATAGATAGATAGATAGATATTACCAAATGAGATATATATATAGAGATAGATACATTGATGACAGATGAGATAGATAGATAGATAGATAGATAGATATTAAATGATGGGATATATAGATAGATATTACCAAACTGATAGATATATAGATAGATGATAGATCGATAGATGAGATAGATTGATAGAGAGAGTGAGATAGATAGATAGATAGATAGATAGATAGATAGATATTACCAAACTGAGATATATAGATACATAGATCGATAGATACATTGATAGACAGAGTGAGATAGATAGATAGATAGATAGATAGATAGATAGATATTAACAGACTGAGATATATAGATAGATAGATCGATAGATAGACTGATAGATAGATAGATAGATAGATATTAACAAACTGAGATAGATAGATAGATAGATAGATAGATGATAGAGAGATAGATAGATAGATAGATAGATAGATAGATAGATATTACCAAACTGAGATATATAGATACATAGATCGATAGATACATTGATAGACAGAGTGAGATAGATAGATAGATAGATAGATAGATAGATAGATAGATAGATATTAACAGACTGAGATATATAACAGACTAGATACATTGATAGACAGAGTAGATAGATAGATAGATCGATAGATAGATAGATATTAACAGATGAGATATATAGATAGATATAGATGATATAGATAGACAAAAACTGAGATAGATAGATAGATAGATAGATAGATAGACTGATAGAGAGAGTGAGATAGATAGATAGATAGATAGATAGATAGATAGATAGATAGATATTACCAAACTGAGATATATAGATACATAGATCGATAGATACATTGATAGACAGAGTAGATATAGATGATATAGATAGATAGATAGATAGACTGAGATAGATAGATAGATATAGATAGATATAGATAGATAGATATTAACAAACTGAGATAGATAGATAGATAGATCGATAGATATAGATTGATAGATATATAGACAGATAGATAGATAGATAGATAGATATTACCAAACTGAGATATATAGATACATAGATATAGATACATTGATAGACAGATAGATAGATAGATAGATAGATAGATAGATTAATAGATAGATAGATAACAGACAGATTAAATAAGAGAAGAATATATATATATATATATTTACAGGTGGCAAAAAGTGATTACAGTTGCATAGATAAAAATCGAATCGATAGATATTTTTTAATAATAAATTTGTGGACTATTCATTAATTGCTTTGTCTTACTGATAGAACTTTTTATTTCCTCCCCTTATATATATATATATATATAATAAATATATATATAATATATATAGATGATAAGTGTGTGTTAAACTTAAATACACAGAGATAGATAGATATATATATATATAGATAGATAGATGTAGGATAGAACGATAGACGGCCACAATTTTCGACGAAAATTTACATGAGCAGGAAGGATAGATAGATAGATAGATGCTTTTAGATATATTTGATTTTCTATAGATAGATAGATATTATTGGCAAACTGAGATATAACTGATACATAGATCGATCGATATGCATTCGTCACAAGTGATAGACAGAATTGGCTCATTCGATAGATAGATGAGTTAGATAAAAGATAGATTACGATCCTTTTTAAACTGAATTTTTGTTAACAGACTGAGATATATAGATAGATAAAGATTTAAAGATAGATAGACTAGATAGATAGATAGATCAAGAATGAGATACATTATACAAACTGAGATATATATATATATATATATATATATATATATGATATGAATGATGTATGATGTTCAGATAGATAGTTCATTATTCAAACATAGATAAATAACAGATAGATAATCATGATAGATAGATTTAATTTCGATGAAGAAAGATATCCAACATTTGGATATTTTCAAACTGATCTCAAATATATAAATTAATACATAGATCTTTTATAGATAATTAATTCAATATCAAACAAGTTGACAGACGTAACTTTGAATTTAGATAGATAAATAGATAGATATCCACCCTAATTCCTATCATCGTCTGTCTGTAATCCAAATAGATAACGATAGATATTCGATTTATATTAAAGTTATTAGTGACAGTATTCAGATAATAGAGATTGTGGTTGTTCCAGACAGAAAAACAGACAGATTAAATAAACAATTAGTATAATTTGGGACAAATTTCTGAAGAATATATATATATATATATATTTGTATTAATAATCTGGGGTCACAGAACAAAAATTGAAATATACAACAATAATTGTTGCATACGATAAAAATCGGTAATTAATTTATTATTTTTTAAAATCCCATTGTTACAATAAAAACACAAAAAGAATGCTTTTATTTTGTAATCATCTCTCATCCTTTTTAGCTGAAAACGAAATAGATCCATTTTCTAAATGTTTTTTGGAAATAAAAAGGAAAACAAAACCCAAAAATTTGACAATTCTGGACTATAGATCATTAAAACGTGCTTTTTTGTCTTAATTGTTAATTAAACTGAATAAATAAAATCTTTAAACTACTAAATTGCTTTAAGGAATTTCCTTACCAAACTTTATAATATATATATATATATAAACATTTTATATATATATATATATATAAGGTTATCCGTGATTTGGGTTTCCATAAGATGAAGTCGTCTACAAACAAGGACGTTAATGAGAGGCATGTAAAAGACAAGTCGGGAAGTTTTGAAATACACACAGAATAAACCCCATTTTATTGTTACATGTTATTTGGCGTTTGTCTTTATTAACCCCAAATTATATATATATATATATATATTTAATTTAAAATTAATGTGTGTGTGTTTAAAATTTATGTGTGTGTGGTTGGTATAGTGAGTGTGTCTTTTATTTACGTACTATGTTTAATTGTGTGGGCCATGAATAAAAATGCACGGACGGCCTCTTGTTCTGTTATATTTCCGTTTAATTTGGAATTCTCCATCTTAACGTGTCTTCATTGGCTAAACTGGTAAACCTCCTTTCATTGGCAAACCTCCTCATTTTTATTTTCATCCCTTTTTTTTCTTTTTTTTCTTTTTTGCACATTTCTTATGCCTCCAATTGATTTATTCTCTTCCTTTTTTTTTACTTTAATCTGTTTTTTGTTCTTTTGTTTCCTTTGATGGAATTATTTTTTTTATTTTGACTTTGCCGTCCATTTTTCGAAAAAGAAGTGATGCTTCATAAGCTCAAAAATCCAGCGATAGTGGAATCGAATTTTTCATGCTTTTACGGCAGTTTTCCACGATAGGAGTTTATATATATATTTATATACTAGGCCAGGTGTGTGTGTGTGTATGTATTATAATTTTTTCTACAAACTGGTTTATTCACAAAAGACGTGCAAGAAGATTCTATAACAGATTTTGGTCTCAGTCGAGGTGCAATTGAAATGCACCGAACCAACTAAGTTGCATCTTTGTAGAGAAAACTGTTTTGTCTATATGATAAAATTATTATAATATATATAGATAGATAGATAGATAGATAGATAGATAAAAAACAGAAAGAGTGACAGAGAGAGAGAGAGAGCAAGAATAAGCCAAAGTGAAAAAACCTGTTCAGAGAATGCATTTTGCGAATGTTAATCAGAATAGCAAAATGCAAAAAAATATCCCTATAAGAATCGATTACATCTGCTAGATTTGAAATTCGCCCTTCTGAGTATTTTTTTTTTCTTCTTTTTTTTTGCATTCGTCAACTATTTTTGTTAGTTGGTATACAGCATTGGGAAAAATTTAAATCTGCATGGCACTTTAAAATGCACCGAAACAAAAGTCCAATTGGCTCATTCGCTTGCCTTAAACTCAACGTTGATTCTGATTCCGCAGAACTGAGTTGGGTGTGAAAAACCTGTATTTGTTGTTAACATTCTTTTTCATTCGGTTTTTCCATATGTTACGAGTCCTTTTTTAAAACTGAATTTTTGTGTTCATTTTGTTTCGTTTTTTTTTTCGTAACGGATTTAATGTTTAGTATAGAACTTAGAACTTTGTTTCGGTGCATTTCATTTGCAGCTCGTCTGGTTAGAACCAAAAATGGTTATGAACAATTCTGTCTACCATAAGGTTCATGGTGGCCAGTGGTTAAGGCACGTCAGCGTATATGACGGTTCCGTATAGGATGCAGGTTCGAATCCTGTCTATGAACGAATATTTTCTATGAAAATTTCTCGGACATTCAGGCCGGTAAATGTTATTTAATACTGTTTATCATAAACAGAGCATTTGCTTAAATACTTGTATCTATAAAATAACAACGTTAAACATAAATAAAATGTCTTTAATAAATAAATTGTCGGACCTCGTCCATTTCTTAACATATATATATATATATATATATATATATATATATATATATATATATATATATATATATTCCGTAAAGGCTCAACATGAACGAATATTTTCTATGAAATTCCATGGTTATAATTTATTACATTGGGATCGTAATCACGATCCAATTCATCAGACCTACAAATTCAAATTTTTGATTACGATTCCAATATACTAAATTATAACCATGGAATATTAGTGTTTGAGCTTTTTATATCATATTCTTACTCTGTCCTGGACTTACTCTATCCTCTTGGGAATTTATATATATATATATATATATATATATATATGTGTGTGTGTGTGTGTGTGTGTGTGTGTGTGTGTGTGACGTCGTCCCCGGTCGCAGCGCCAACTGGGACGTTCTATCCTGATCTACCACGGCACCAGTTGTGACGTCCCCAAACAGCATCAATTGTGACGTCCTCGCCGCGGCGCCAGCTGTTCGCTCCTCGCTGCTCCGTTCGGGTGTCGCTGCTCCAAACGTGTTGTCTCGTCCTGTGACGACCAGCTGGCTTGGTATCGGTCGCGGCACCCAAATGTGACGTTCTAACCTTTTGGTGATTCGGGTGGGAATCTGGTTAGATTTGATATCAGCCTCGTCGTTCCCAACTCGCTTCCAACGTCTGGTTACCGAAGTAACTGCGTTGATCTCCAGTCTGCCTACCCACGTTGTGAATTGATCTTAGGCAGACGAGATCAATCAGTAGTCGGGGCCGTAATGCAAACTGAGTTCAACGGGAGTGATAACACACAAATATGCATAAAAGAAAATAAAATGAAAACTCAAAAAAGTTCAAAGTATCAAAGAAAAAGGTAACAAACTTTATGTCTAGTTGTTCGATACATAGGACTGCATCTATCTCCCGACCCGTTCTGTGGATTGTGACACGTCGTTTTCCGTTAGGCAAGTTTTAATGCTTCAAGTTGTTTGCTCTCTAAGAAATTGGTGTTTCGGTGTGTCTTTGGACGAAAGTCGAAAAACTTATTTCGGTGGTCTGGATCTAAGTCGCTCTTCAAAATAATTGTTCTTGGGTTGAAGAGGAGTCCGGAATTTGCGTGAATCTTGGTCAGCTGAACTCACTGGAACTGCTGGAACTCAACTCTGGAAACTCAACTCTCCGCTGGAGCCCGAACTGATTTCTGCCTGTTGGGGCCTCGCTTTTATTGACGCCGACCAAAACCGGGGCGGGTCTGTCGGCGTCGGGGGTTCCTCGATAATTCTAAATACATATCCACCTCTTTTATTTCTGGTTAGGGATTTTCCACGCTTTTCCATTTTTGGGAACCTTTCCTTACTCCCACTTTCTCACCATACTTCAGAGGGCGTGAACTGCCCTCCCCACTTCTTCGTAGCAGCTTCTCATACTTATACTCTGGATGAGGCGTCTACAGCCTCCTTCGTGTGTCATGTGATCACCACTTGACCAATGATGTCTTAGTCGGGCGTGAACGAATCCGCGGCTTTGTATCGGGGAAAAAAAAATATCTTGCTTAACTAAAAACTTCTCTTTCCCTTTTCTTCCGCTTTAATCGCCGTTATCATTTTTCTAGCTGCAAACGGGACAATATGACAACTCTTGTTCTACACGTGGGTTTTTTCAGGTATTTTATCGCTAATTATCAAAATGGGCGGTCTTCGTGACACGGCCTCAAAAAAGAAATATCTCTAAAGTTTCAGTCAGTCTGTCGCCTCCAAGGAAGAAGAAAAAACATTTCTGGGTCCCATTCATTTTCCTTCGGTACATATTTCTGATAACATAATTTTATTATCGCAGGCCAAAGTTGTTTCGTCGAAAAAAAAAATCGGTCAGCGGACACGGCTTGTGTGGCTTTTAATTTTTCATATCTGTCCAAAGTCCCTGTTTTTCGTCACTTGTCGAAATAACATTTTCACTTGAATTTTTCCCTAGCCAGTCGACCAGCCGTTTGCTTACGTACCCCTAGATAACACAGCCGTTATCAAAACACATCTGATTTTCTTTCTTTCCCTTTCTTTTTACTCAGAATTTCCCTGTCATTGTAATGACACCCTTTTCCATTTGTTACTTATCAATATTTTCATTGTCTCTTAACCGTGTGTGTGTCCTGCTGATCACCCACGATTCGTCTCGCCTTTCTTTTGCCTTCTTTTCTTTCTTTTCCTTTATCTGCCTCGTAAATGGTGCCACATATATATATATATATATATATATATATATATATATTGACCATTAATATTATCTATCTATTTATATCTATCTATCTATCTATCTCTCTCTCTCTCTCTCTCTCTCTCTCTATA